GCTCAAAGGTCAAGGTCACACTTTCACTTTGGGGTCATCGCAATACCCGTGTCCGGGTCACACTTAGGAGTCAAAGGTCAAATAAGAAAATAAAACATTGATTTGCGGGTATAACTACTATACAAATGGATGGATTTCATATAACTTATCACAAATGTTCTTCATATTGAGTGAAGAAGTCTTGTGCAGATTGAAGGTCAATGTCACAAGAGGTTAAACTTCAAATAAAATATTAATATCTGTTTGTTGGCCCTGTATTTTGCTTATGCTATGAAATATAATGCTAAGTGGTCAGAGGATTTTTTAATTCTTGAGCCTGCTGGTCAACTTAGTCGCCACTTCTCACTTTTGGCGGTTTGGTATATGTGCGTTCGTCAGTCCGTGAGTCCGTCTAGATTTGTCCTGTATATATCTTGCTCATTCTTTGAAAGATAACAAAATAGTTTGATGTGTCACACGCAAAACCCAGGTCCGCCTCTAAATGGTCAAGGTCACACTTGGAATGTCGGCGCAAAACCGGTGTACGGTGCGTAAATTCTACATGCGTGACGTGATATTGATATAACAAATATTCTCCATAGTGAAGCGGAGTATCGCGAAAAAAAAACCCAGGTGTTTGTGGTAAAGGTAAAAGTCTTACAACGTGGTCAAATGTCAAATAACAAAATACAACATTCATTTATTAGCATAAATAATATACAGATGGATGGATTAAGCTCAACTAAGAATAAATGTTCTCGTTGTCTGCTGCAAAATGAAGGGCAATGTCACAAGAAGTCAAAGGTCAAATTAAAATATCAAAATGTGTTTGTCCGCACTGTATCTTGTTTATGCTTTGAAGTATTATGCTTAGTCGTCAGAGGACTTTTGTCGAGCAAATTTATATAAGATAAGGTCATAAACAATAGCTATGCACTGTTTTGTTGTAATTAAAAAATTTAAATTAAAAGTTATCAATAAAATAATAAAGCCACGCGGCTTTTACATGTAAGGTAAAGCTTTTTAAACGTTTGATTAAACAGGAGTCAGTATTGTACCGAGAAGAAAGTATTTTGTTCAATGAATCCGACTTGGCAACACTCCAACTGATCTGATGGTCAGTGCTTATACGGCATTGTTTAATGTATTTTCTGGTTCAGGTCTCTCTGTTGACTTTCATTACGTATGATGTAACTTTAAAGGTAAACTATGCTCACATTTGATTTTAGAATATATTGATAATTGCTACACAGTATATTTGAAAATATAAAATAAGCATGTATTAACTTCACACAAAATAGATATTTTATTTTTACAATGCCACTTACTATAAATATATAGTGTCATTAAAACTGGCAGTTTTGTTAAGGAAATACCAACTTTACGTTATCTGTATAAGGGGACGCGGCTTCCCATGCATAGTGATTTCATTTTGTCATTTAAATTAGTCATATTCAGTAAGAGTTCCATAGATTATTTTTTTGTGAATTTTTTTTTTGTCAGAATAATTATTCACTGTTAATTAATCACATACACAAGTCCATATGTATCAAGATTATCTAAACAAATATATTTGGGAACTTTCTGACATTAAACTGAATATGTTCTGATATGTTAAAGAAAGACTTCAAAACCGATCTTTTTCGTAAATGGTGCATTCGATAAGTATAGATCTTTTTCTCAAAATTTAGAAGAAAAGCTGAAAAATATTGTAAACAAATACCTTTTAACTTATTTCAACAAAAACGATATGGTACTTGATAGTGTTCTTGCATTTTATCCATAACATTTGTAGATATACAATAACATCTCAATATAAAGGTATTGTTACGACCCTGCTCTTGATATAGCCATTATAGGATCTCTCTTACAAGAACAGTCGATGTGAACTGTTGAGATCAATCTCACAAATAGGTTATCATAATTTCCTGCTGCTCCAGGTGACTGTCAATGTTTGCCTGTCAAACCCTCCGTAAGCTGCCTCTCTGCTTCCAGACTGCTCTCTGTGTGTGTGCCTGTCAGCTCTTGTGTATAATGCAATTCTGTGCTGTCTGTTTGTTTGTTTGTATGCTATCTGCAAAGATCTGTGCAGCAGACTGTAGCTACCCTCTCTGGGTGCTCGCCGTGACTGTGTGCCGTTCTTTTTCATGTATATCAAATATAGGTTATTCTGATAAGATATGAATCATATTTGCTTTATACATGTAGTTCGTTTGTTTGGTTAATATGCCGATTTTAAAACTTTTTTGGTCATTATTTCGACGGTCGATCCACCTAAATGGCTTTCTTGAATAACTAACCAGTAATAACCAATTTCTCCGCAAACGACCGACGAAAGTTACTATATCATTGTGATAAAGCCACCAAACATTTTAATAGAATAGGAAAAAATCTAGTCAAGTCAGGCAAGACTCTCATCTTTATTTCCCCTCCCGCGACCCTTGCAAGTTTTGGTAGGGTAATTAGGTAGATAAGATCTATTTTAATCATCATGGGCGGGTCCACTCGGGACGGATATTTAAATCTGAACCGCAACATATGACAGATATCATTATACTCACACTCCATTTACCACACTGTTAGAGCATGCTGGTTGATAGACTACATTTTTCTAGGGTTTACTTATTGTCACGACATGGCAATGGATAACGATAGAAAAGTCATATTCAGATTCTCGTGCATTGGTTATTTTTTTTTATAGCATAACGCTAACATTTAGCGCGTCTTAACGCTATGTTTGTACAACGCAAATGACATGATTGTATCATTTATCATATGAAACCTTTCGTTAACTTCGGTCCTGGATATCAATAAGTTTCAGTTTCAGTTTCATTTATTGGCAAACAGCAATACATTTGCCTTTGGCATTTACAAGAGTACCAGTATAAGTAAACTTGATTCCAAGATAAACAAAATTGTCAACAATTTCAATTTTTTCGTTATCTATATAGAAGTCAGGATATACAGTTTGTTTTTTCTTTTCAAATACACAAAATTTTGTTTTACTAACATTTATTTTCCAACCCCATTTCTTAGAATAATGTTGCACAGCATTAATTTGAGCCTGTAGGCTATTTTGATCTGTTGTAAATAATACAATATCATCAGCAAATAAAATAATATACCTAGACAAAAGTTCAAAGTCCCTTTCAGCCAAAGCATTAAAATCCAAATTTTCAGAAATATCATTGGTAAAAAGTAGAAAAAGTAGAGGAGACAAAGGTTCTCCCTGCTTTAAACCTATTGTTACATTAAAGAAGTCTGACATATTCATGTTATTTGACAATTTCACACAAGCTTGAACCTTTAAATATATACATTTGATCATATTTGTCATTTTACAGCTAATTCCTGATTGTCATATACACCATTTAACAATTTCTGGTTGATATCGTTAAACACAGAACACTTATTTTGTAATATATTTAAAAAAATCCCCATTTTCGGACGAATTCCATAAAATTTTATCAAATCCAAGTATTCGTCTTGTATATCTGATATAATATAAGAAAGACAAAAAGTTACTGGACAATGATCAGAATATTCATTAATATCTAAAACACACATATTTGATATACTATCATATCATTTTATATTTGAAATAACATAATCTACCAGGCTAGACACTGGTTTATTTCTATATACTGAATTATAAGTGCATTTACCATCATCTTTACGACCATTTAATATACACAAATTGTTCTCCTTGCAAAGATCTAGTAGTTTTGAGCCATAATTATTAAAACCATTGTCATGATTTTCACGCACAGGTAAATCAACCCCAGACATAGCGGACTCAGGTAAACCAACGTATCGGTCAAGATTTAGGTCAATGATATAATCCGGCAAAGTTCCCGTGCGGCTATTTAGGTCACCTACTAAATATACATCACCTTTATCATAATATTTACGTATTTCAGTGTTTAAACATTCGAAAAATTCAAAATTATACAAAATAGAATTAACATTTCTATAAACCGCCGAATCTTCAGGAGGTATATAACAAACACAGAAATAAGCATCTTTGTTAGACTGTAAACACTGTTTATCAATTTTAAACCAGATAATTCCTCTATGATCAATATTTAAAAGATGTATAAAGTTTTTGTAACAGTTTTTGTAGTATACGACAACCCCTCCGCTATAGCGCTTAGCTTTACTATTAGATTTCGGACGGGGACAATTAAAGCAATCATAACCGTCTATATGTACATTTTTACGAGAAGCATTCCAAGTTTCATTAAAAAGCAACACATCAAAATCACACACATAGTTAAGAAAGTCAGAGTCTTGTAATTTCGTACCTAAACCTTGTACATTCCATAAAAGGAACGATAACTGCCTCTGATCAGGTTCCTAGCTAGAGCTATAAACCGAGTTGTGAACCGTTTCTACAGTGTACATTTTATTTTCAATATACAGTTTGTCATATGACAAGAATGCTGATTTGCCATTTTTCTTGGCATTGATCATAACCGGAAGTAGAATTTTTCTGCGGTCCTGAGTCAATTTCGTAAATTGGTCGCTAACGCTGATCATCGGTTTTACCGGTGCTGTATGTTTGTCTCCATCCGTCGGTTCCGCGATTTCCGATGGCATAACGCCGGGAGTCTCCGATCCACCGGTGTCTGTCACCTGCGGCTTATTAGCACCGGGGGTTAATTTCTTATAATCGTTATACTTCTTCCATGTATCTTGTGCTTTCTGTTTTATAATAAGCTTATCGGGATAGTAGTTGAACATAACGACGATTGGTCTCGATTTATGACAGTCGTACTTTGCCCCAAGCCAGTGCGCTCGTTCAATTTTTTATAGTTTGATGGGCATTTGGTATGTCAAATACTTCACATAATCAAGCACAAGCTTGGTACACATATAATAAGATGGGGTTATCTAAAACGGTGCTATTTAAACAACAGTTTAACATTTCACACATGATTAGTGCAGGTGCATTAGTTTCAAACAACGCCGGTTTACACATTACAATGATAAATCTTGTCATTGAATTACTTGTGATAAAGCAAGATAACAAAATCACACACACTGTCCGCTACCAGTTCAGGACAGTATTATTCGAAACAGTTAGTAAATTCATAGAAAGGATTTATTTAGGACGTTTGGCTTGTTTAATACCTCAAAATATCTATAAAAAATGTCAGATGCTAATGGATTACAGAATTTAAGGTTTAGGAATAAAGTTGCCATTGTCACAGGCGGGTGTTGCGGCGTAGGTCGCGGTTGTGTCGATGTCTTAGGTAAAATTATTCATTCATTCATTCACTCACTCACTCACTCACTCATTCACTCATTCATTCATTCATTCATTCATTCATTCATTCATTCATTCATTCATTCATTCATTCATTCATTCATTCATTCATTCATTCATTCATTCATTCATTCATTCATTCATTCATTCATTCATTCATTCATTCATTCATTCATTCATTCATTCATTCATTCATTCATTCATTCATTCATTCATTCATTCATTCATTCATTCATTCATTCATTCATTCATTCATTCATTCATTCATTCATTCATTCATTCATTCATTCATTCATTCATTCATTCATTCATTCATTCATTCATTCATTCATTCATTCATTCATTCATTCATTCATTCATTCATTCATTCATTCATTCATTCATTCATTCATTCATTCATTCATTCATTCATTCATTCATTCATTCATTCATTCATTCATTCATTCATTCATTCATTCATTCATTCATTCATTCATTCATTCATTCATTCATTCATTCATTCATTCATTCATTCATTCATTCATTCATTCATTCATTCATTCATTCATTCATTCATTCATTCATTCATTCATTCATTCATTCATTCATTTCATTCATTCATTCATTCATTCATTCATTCATTCATTCATTCATTCATTCATTCATTCACTCACTCACTCACTCACTCATTCACTCATTCATTCATTCATTCATTACAGTGTTATGTATACTGACTTTTTAAAACGAAAAACTGCATTAACACGTTAATATACACAGTGTCCTGTTCTATATATTGGCTACACATTTTGATTTTTGTTTTGTTGAAAGATACGTTATCCTGTGATATAACACGTCAAACAGGTTCTTAACCATGACCCGTGCACTATTTTATCAATTTTGAAAAAAAAATCACAAATTGAAACAGAACATCGGTGTCTAATAACCTTTTTGTAAAATAAACGAAATACCGTCTTCAAAAACAGTCTATATAGAATGTTCCTGGTACGTAACAATTTTTTTATAGTTTTAAATTTTATTTCTAGTTGATGAAGGTGGAAAGGTTGCAGTATTGGATATAAACGGTATGAATAAAGGCCAAAATATGCATACAGTCAAACCTGTTTTAAAGACAACCTCTGAATAGAGATCACCATGTGCATAAAGGTCACTCTGAGAAACCCTTCATCAATTTTAAAGAACACAATACTGTACCTCAAAATAAAGACCACGTATCTATGATAAAGGACATTTTCGATCCTCCCTTGGATGGCCATTGTTAACAGGTTTGACTGTATGACCTTTCAACTTACAATTACCCTTAAAGGGACTCCACTGAGTTTTTTTGACATGATGAGACTGAAAATAGTTTTTTCAGATAAATGAGCCATTTGATATAGGTATAAACCACTAATTTTTGTGCAAAATTTCAGATCATTCGCGCACTTCGTTTTTCCAGAATAATAATTCAAATTGTAAAAAATGACCCATCTTGAAAAGCGTTTAAACGCTTTTTACTCAAATCGGGCTAAGAAAAGCATAAAAATACGATTTTCAATTTATTTCAAAGTATATTTCTTAACTATCTCTGCATATATTTATGTTTAAAGTGCCCCAGCTCATTTATGTAAGGAATTCAAATGTTATGTTTTTAGACTTTTAAAGCTCAGTGGAGTCCCTTTAAAGATTGACCGTTCTAAATAACTGTGTGTGAAATTCAAGTTTAATTGAACTGTCATTATTGACTGTTTGATTGATTGCTTTATTGATTGATTGATTGATTGCTTGCTTGATTGATTGCTTGCTTGATTAATTGATTGATTGATTGACATCCATAATTATTAAATGAGTCTTTGTTGTCTGATAGTTTTTAGATAATTAGCAGAATCACATTTAGTTTCTATTGGTATGCATGCAATTTAATGATACATTTCATTAATTTCATCACAAGTGATTTTGTTTTATCCTAGACGAGGTAGGAACGTCATTAACCTCAGATGGCCTGCCCGGTGAATTATTTTTCATACACTGTGATATGAACAAAGAGGACGACATAAAGGTATATCTAACATTAAGATATCATTTATAGATTTTGAGCAGACATAGCACTATTTGTCTAACCTCTAACTAACCTTTAATACGGTTTGTGACCTAATAACCTGCCCGACAAATTTTATTCAAAATAAGATGATGTGAACAATATCTCAACCTCTGTAAACTTTACCAAATGATATCATAGTCACTTTATTTTTGGTATGGATGGGTTTCTGTTATGGGACAGATTTCGACCAATATCCTTACGCACAGTTCAAAATCGAATATTATCGAAAATTGTTAAGTTATTAAAGATAAAATTTTCTATATTTTTCAGTCAGTATTTTGCCATGATCCCCTCCCCCCACGAAAAAAAACCAACAGCAATTAATGGCATTTCCATGGTAAAATATCCGTAAATACAGAGAGTCGACCTAAATTCACTTTATATGGCACTTATATTGGATAGGTTGGGTGGTGTAGAATGGTAATATTTTGGACACTTTTTAGGCCCATTATGCTTTCATTTTTATTTCTCAAAAGCTTTATATTATTGGTGTCCTGTTATAGCTTCTTAAAGGATACTCACTGGCAAATTACTTAAACCATCTTTTGCCTCTGTTTCTATTTGAAACAAGTACAATTAGAGTGATTTAGAATTTTGTATGGAAGTCAACATACTACTTTGATTACAATTTGCTGCCTAAATGATTTATACTTGCACATTTAGCGTTGCATTCTCTTGCTAACAAGCGTCTAACATACTATAAATTATTATTTTAACGTTAAATTACTCATTTTTGCCATTTCCAAAGTAGATTTCTTTTATTCATTTCTGAGACATAACGTGCCTTTTAAGGTTTTATTTACCAATAGTCACGTGAATGCTATAGCACACGATTACATGACCATTAAACAACAAAATAAATAAATAAAATAATTAAGAATAAATAAATAAATCTTTATCTTCATCGTAATTTATTAAGCAATCGTTTAAACAAGTTAAAGATATTTTAGGGTCTGGGTCTGTACTGATAAATACATAAAGAAAATGACTAGATCTATATAATGACAAAATGAAACCGATCGCAAAATATTTAATTAAAGCATGGTTTCGGCTTTCCTTTTTTTCTATTTCTTGCAAAAGTTTTGAATGAGTTATTTAGAGCTAGCATTTAGTATATACGTACTTTGAATAACAAACAACATCAACAATAAAAAAAGAAACAACCAACATTTATTAACTTTTCGCAAGAAATACTTTGATTTTCATATTTTCTGCAGCAATCTTTAAAAATTCGTTTTATGTTATATTTTCAGAGTGCTATTGAAAAGGTGGTAGAAAAATATGGCCACATAGACTGTTTGGTAAATAATGTTGGAACAAGTAAGTTACTGTATCATTTGTTGAAATGACGCCAACACCATTCTTGCATACTTCTTTTGTAATAATATAAGTCAACAGGTATGGCCCGCAGTGTAATTCTATTACACTATTCTCAATAAATTAGAATTTCAATTGCTTCTGTTTAATGTAATGCAATAATGTGCTTGTTAATAAGCTAAAAGGCCCATCAAGCCTCAAACGGGTAATATATGCATTTTTCAAATTCTTTCTATTCTTGATGCCTTGATACTGTTTTTTGCTGTTGTTTTTATTGTTTGATTTTTTTCTTCTTTTTTTTTAAATTTTGATAATTGCTCATATAGCTGGGACATCGTTCTATTCCTTTACCTTTTGGCATTAAGTTTAGTTGTATATTAAATCAGTGATTTGACCGGAACTCAAAATACCACTTTGTTTACATTTTTGTTTTTTCTTCCAGCAATTATCTCATATTCGACGCTATTGCTTCAGGGGATAAGCATCTAGATCGCCTTAAGTACAACATTTCGAAACACATTTATCTTTGTCATTTTCTTAAGAAAGATAAAAAGTATATTTAATTTCATTTTTGTTAAGTTGGAGATATTTATATCGCAAATAATTGTATATTGCAGATCCCGGGAGCAATCCAATTGATAAACTCACCGTGCAAGGTTTTAGAGATTTGCTCAACACTAATCTTGTCAGCTATTTTGCAGCAAGTAAGGTTAGGCGATGTTAAATTTGTAAACATTCCAATATATTATTATTTACCATTAGTAAAATACCTAAGTTAGTAGAGAAACATCTTTACTTCACAAGCAATTTCATTTTTTTAATTGCGCCAAACTCACAAAATTTAAATCACAAGTTAGTATGAATTATTTTCCTATAGCAGCCTAGTCGCCGATGAGACGGCCATGGATTTGTCATTTCCAATTGCTAAAAGTTTCGAATCTAACCTCGGTTCCTTTCGTACGATCCTATCATTCGTCGTGGAATTATGGTCCTTGTATACGGGCATATCTACCTTGCCCGTATATTGATGTATTTGATTTCCGTATCATTTTATTCATGATTCAAAACATTAACGTACATATTAGGTGTGTACAATGCATTGCTGTAAACGAAAGGTAGACTGACTCAGGCGTGTTCCGGAGACGAAAAACTCTTTCCAGATTTATCTCTAATTGTATGCTTTTCGTGCGGTTTGATGAGTTATTTTCAAAAAAGTGATAGACTACGAGCTTTTATTAATCGGTACATATAGACTAACAATTTGGTAATTTTGCGATGAAACCGAAGCCGCTCCTTCTACTTATGACAGTATTTTAGTCCCTTCTTTTAAGAGTACGTGTCACGTGTTTTTGACAAAAGATCAATATGGCGGTTTATTCTTTCCTTATCCCGGGCTTATCCTATTGGCTTGTATAAAACTAACTAATACACGCGTAGGTTAATAGCACAACATTTATTTCTGTTACTGGCACGTAATGTATCTTCGTGATTACTTATTTCATTTGGTCATCAAATTTGCTTGAAATTCGGACAACATATCGCTTCAAGAGAAGGTCACATGACACAACGAGTCAATCCCTTCGTTTGATTGCTTTCATCTGACAGTTCTTTTCTTACCCTGTCACAATTGATGTGCAGCTAAAATGTTTCTTCGTTTCAGTACGCTTTGCCCTATTTACGCAAGACTAAGGGTTGTATTGTTAATACAGGAAGTATTGGCTCATCGGCAGCTGCACTAGAGATGCCTTCGTATTGTGCCTCAAAGGTAGGTATAGTTTATTACACCCGTTTTAGCCATGTGCTCTTAATATAACATTAATATGCGTTACATTTCGCAATGTATTTCTTATCCTGTTAATATAATATTCAAGCCAAAAATTGACGCAGCAGATTAGTTTAAATATTATTCACCCGAAGAGATGGGTAACAGCTAGTCATCCGTCCGTCTATCGGATAGAAAAAGACTATCCTGTCCGCACTATATCTGTTATTTTCCATGCTCAATAGGCATTTGTTTATTTGACTGTGACTACGTGCATAACGCGAATTTCGAACGCAAAACTTCACTGTCAAGGTCACAGCTCACAGAATAGAAATTGAACCAAGGCTTACTGTCTCTTTTAAAGCGTGAAGGGGAGAGTGGGTATTCTTGATAGTATTTCCCTTCATTGAGCCGATGAGCGGAACCAACATTCAAGTTGCCCACAAATGATAGTAGCAGCACTTTTAAATCTCAACTAACACACCTGTAACCGTTTGTTGGACATTTTATTGAGACGAAATGCAGAAGCCATGTTTCGTGTGCCGGCATTGATGTCAAAGTCATAATTAAGTTAAAATGTTTTTTGTTCCCATTCTGACCGTCGAAATATTTTTTGGACACACGTGCTACATTGTTCAAAAGTTTATTTCTATGAAACAATGTGCAAAGATAATAGCTTATGTGTGGTGGTTGTCAGTATGTTTCGGCCCGTTGGCAATATTTTGTCCTCTCTCTCAAACTACTTGTTGTGCTATTTCGGTTAAATGTTTGGTTTTTAAGCAAACAGAGTGCAAGACGTACATTTAAGGCACACAATGGTTGAATTAGTTCCAATTATACATAATTCGTGCATATTTCATGTACGGGCAATTACTTTTGGAAGCTTACTGAAAATGAAACATTATTTTGGGCGTGTTCATGAACCGCATATATTTTCATTTCTGGTTAATAAATAGGGGCTTGTCAAATTATTTTCATTTCTGTCAGTATTATCAAGAATGTTAAACTCTTTGCTTCTGAATAAACTTTAATTGATTTTTCATCTTGTTATCCCTTGTTCAAAATACTGTTTTATGTTTACACATTTAAATCAACCATTTCGGTACGGACATAAGTATTACCTAGATATTCATTCTGCAATTGACTGATATTCTTTTTGTTATATTTTTCTATCTTTCAGGGTGGAACAATTGCATTAACTAAAGCTTTGGCAATTGATGAGGCGAAACATGGGGTTCGTGTTAATGCGTAAGTTATCTCAATTTATAATTATTTCAAAGACAGAAATATATTTACTGGTCATTGTATACAATTTTACAACACCATATAAATGCAGATTCGAACATGGTTTCTTTCTGGCGATTTTTAACCCTTACAACGTTGTATATCTTAAATCTGACTTATCCATCCGCCAATCTTGGCAAAACCATTCATCATTATTTGGAGAAATTTCAAAATATGTACTGTCAAAAAAGTGAACAGACCATGGTCATGCGGCACAAACTGATCTTGATCTGAACTTGTTGCACTGTTATAATACGTTATCGGCAATGGTTATAGTAAGGAAAACTCCAAAACTCTGATACCATATTATTTGAAAATTATTTTAAGAAGTCCATTATTTATCATTTGTACTGAAGAAATAATATAATATATGTTCTATGGGAACTCTCCGCCGATTGATTCTTAAGACTTGCTTCAAATGTGCAAGAACCGATATTGTTTAGCATTTGCCATCAGTATAGACAGACTGGTAAAAAAATCTGGTCAAGCCTCTAAACTGTTTGTTGATAGTTGTATTCTGACATAAAGCCTTTTTAAACATCAAATAAAAAGGTCCAATTTCAAAGCTGGAAAAAATCCTTCACACAAATTCAGCAGGTAAAGATGGGCAGTTTGAAGACAGTGTTTCTCCTTGGTTATAAAGCTTAGGGAAACTGGACTTAGCCTATGATACTAAAGAAACATGTGTTAAGGGCGCACATGTGATTATATTACCATTCTACTTACTAACACTTTGCCACATTTAGTAGATTGACATTCTCTTACTATTTTAAGGGTATCACCTAGCATAGTAGACACACCATTATTTAGGAAGGTAATAAAAGAATGGGGTGAGGAGCAGGCACAGATCGATATGTTAGCCTCGTTTACGGTATGGCCTTTCAATTTACTTTGATATATTTCATTCTGGTAATGTCATGCATTGCAGCCAAATAAAAGATAAAAGATCTTTCATATTACAGACCTTAGATCAAGGTAAATCAGCCTAATAAGCACAATACGAAGAGCATCGGAGCTGTACTTAAGGGGTCGGGTCGCTGGTGTGATCCTCAGTCAGGACAAAATATCTCCATGACAATTGATTTCTGACAATAGACTTTTGTCTCTCATCGCTTATTCCGAAATTATGTGAGATTATCAGTCTTTCACTAGCAGATAATTACTGGTAATTTATCCCGCAAAACCGATTAGGTGGACCTAGCGCCAAGGTTAACAAACAATTTGTTAAAATCGGCATTAACCAATCAGCCAAATCAAACCATACCAAACCGCAGTAAGAAAATCAGTCGTTGAATACGACAAAGTCTTGCATAAAGTTGCTTTAATAAAAGGATCTTATGCTTACTACAGGTACTTACTAACTGTTTAAGGCGATAATAATATTATTTTTCGGTTAACAAATACACAGTTTCCACAGAGAATGTGCAATATATTTATTATAATGTACACAAACATTCACTGTATAAAAATTATTACAATTTCAGCAATTAGGTCGTTTGTCGTTACCCAGGGAGATAGGTAAAGCATGCCTTTTTCTTGCCGTGGATGCAACTTTCACGACGGGAGAAGAACTTATGTGCACCGGTGGATCGGAAATTGGATATGGCGTTAAACAATAACTACGTTAAGATATGTGTGGTAAAAGTACGAGTTTGAACCGTAAAACACGAGAATGACAGTTCAGAAGTTATTTGTACATCATAGGGCATTTTTTAATTGATTATGATTGTCAGACATAATTTAAATCATAATTGTACCGAAAAATACTCTATTTTCCTTTGGATATGAAATATAATCATTCATTATGTTACATAGTTGATAGCACTGTAGGAGCACTTTGGCTCGGAGCAAATGTGCTCCTACATAGCACGATGGTAATTTTTTCTTCTAGCGCAACTATTTCTATGGTGTGCATGCGTGGGAGCCTCTCTATATTTTAGATCTATACCGGTAGGCCTATGACTCTAAAATGTGTCTGCATTCCAGGACAGACTGACGCAACTCATTTGCATTGTAACGCTTTTCTGAACATGGCGATAGGTTCATGGTACAGGCAATTCGATCAAAAATATTTAGATATTAAAATATATGTCCGTATGATGTATGCAGGAATTACGAAATCTATCTACAAATATGGTGTTATGGTGTAGGTATGCGTCCACGCCTATCACGTGGTTATATGAGTCATGTTAACGTCATGATAGATTCATCAACTATTGAAAATTGGTTACCAAATAAGTGGATTTCACAGGTGGCTGATTTGTGCCATTCGCGTATTCGCCCCGCGACCCCGCCAAGCGAAAAGTCGAGAATTATCAAGTTAAAATGGCGGGGGCGCGGAGCAAAAAGTCGATAATTAGCAGGGGCGAGGGGCAAAGTTTGATAAATAAAACTTTGCCCCGCGGGGGCGCAGAGCGAGATTTAAAAAATAAAACGGCGTTTTTTTCGCTCCGCGCCCCGCCATATTTCAACTTGTTAATTCTCGACTTTTCGTTTAGCGGGGTCGCAGGGTGAAAACACGCTCGTTATTTGGGGCGCGGGGCGAAGTTATATATTTCAAACTTCGCCCGCGCCCTCGCTAATTAGCGTGTTTTCGCTCCGCGCCCCCACCATTTCTTGACTTTTAGCTATGCGAAAACACGAATGGCACAAATCAGCCACTATAATTTCCTTAGGTAAACTCTATCTGATATATATGGAAACCGCCACGGCAGAATTACGCAGAAGGTTTAACTTTCCAACTTTCTATGTTCTTTCTTCAGCCACCGTTTACTTGAGAAACAATTTGATACTTTACGGAAATACTTTGACAATTAAACATAAGGAAATACTTGTATTTGAAAGAACTTTATAAACAAGACATTATCACTATGTTATGGAAACAAGTTTATGTAATGAAACGATAGACGTAATAGTCCAGATTGTAATAGGTCACTACATAACACAGTTCTACATTATTATTGATTACACCCTCTTTTCTGTTTACATTAAGTCCGAGGTTGTTATTGGTAATATTAGCCGAGATAAGAGCCAAAAATAGATCTTGCACACTTATAGTTTTGTCATGACTATGGTGGATAGATTATGGAAAAATAAGGAAAATATTGTGATTGCATCAACATTAAAGTTTTAGTCTGCAAATCATCAAGATGCAGGCAAATTAATGATAGGACAAATTAATTTTTTTATTGTGGTTGTTATCTTTCATTGATCTGTAGTGACCAATATCTGCCCGTACTTAAATAGTGACCAGCTATTTTTCATCCCTTGTTTCTACGTCGTCAAATATATTCTCCCCTACCATATATCGGCAGTTATAAATATATTTCGAAAGTCACCAATATTTTCCAGTCATTAAATAACCTCCGTTCTTCCATGATGACATATACCCCTCTACTTCAATCCAAGACCAATATCTTCAAAAGTGAACATTATCTCTCCCCCCCCCCCCCTAATTACCATTGTGCCCAATATGATAACGTATTTCAGTAGTTACAAAAAACCCCGTGTTTACATTTGTTTCTGTAGTTTTTACGGCAATCTTCGAGCATTTTGGGTCATACCCTGGTATTCGATAGACATAAACGGATATCAGTTATTAGCAATTTCTCCGTAAGTGACCCACTACTTTCTTAATCACCGATAAGAGACAATGACCATTAGATTAATATTGTTGTCAAAAAGTTATGCAGTTTTCATCAGAAGGTTTCATATAAAATTCATCAAAACATCTTGATAATAAATGTAAATAATTGTTGGTATTATACAATATGTCATGTATTGATATTTTTACATTAAACCACTTAATTTTAGCCAGTAGTTTACAGACACTAGTATTTCTAAGTGTTTTCATTGAACTATCCCACAATTAAAAAAATCAATTTCAAGGTTAAACAGAAGCAATGAGAATATTATAAATTTGTTTATGTTTTTCTTGAAAACTAAAAACAATGACCATCTTTTCAGTCAACAGCTGACTTGTTTCTAATTGTGTGCTCTTAATAGTAAGGTTTTTTTTTTCCTTGTTAGTTTTGAATGAATAAATTTTCTAAATTCGTGTTGTGGCTATATTCAGTAATTGATAGATGTACATATTTCTAATATTGCACTAATTTCCCCAATAATTTCCGTCGAAGTCCTTGCTGTTTTTTGAAAATATGTTCTCCAAAGCTCAGGTGCCAGTTCATGCCTGAAATAAGGCATTTAGGGGCTCGCCCATCTGTAAGCCCGAAACTTGCCATATGACCTTTACCGTGTTGGTGCGATGAAAATCCCAAACGAAATAAAACAAATTATCAAAAGGTTGCAGATGAACTCGACTTTACCTCGAAACAAAACAAGGAAATAATCATTTATTTAATTGTTTGACGAAAAGTGAATAAAAAATTAATTTAATTATTATACTGTTAAACCTATCAAATATAAAAACACATACGATCTGAAACAAAATTTTGTTGATGTTTGTTTTATTTCTAACCAGTGAAAAATACATCATTATCACATACTTAACAATTTTGCATAGTTGATGTCCGCATTTTAAAAATAACTAAATAATAACCTTTTTTTTGCATCATACCCTTTTGTAGGAATAATAAAATGCCCTGGAGATATTATTGATTTCTACAGCTAACGTATATGGCCATGAATTGTGCTTATAACATTATAACATTCAATTGTTGACTTATTGAAATGAGAAGTACTCTGACTTAAAAGTGAAAAAAGATGAAGAGTAACTATCAAACAAAAACATCATAAGTTCATTTGATCTTTCCTTTTGATTACATGCACACAATGCAAGAGAGAGTTTTTAAATTTTGTTACTCAAAACCTGAAAAATATTTATTATTATTTAATTTATAACGTAAATGAAAAGATTACAAATAAAATATTGTTAGAACTAAAATTCACGTTTCAGTTAACTTTTAAAATTTAACGCTACATTTGATGATATTTGTTGTATTCTATAAATACAAGAATTATTTTCATCGAATGGTATTTAGATAAATATTTCATAAGTGCCAGTAGACCGGAGTGAAATATAAAAAAATTCATACCACAAGATAAAAATAAGTCATGTATTATTAGAAAATCTTGAATTTCCTGTTTATTATATACTTTTCTCTTTTTCAATATTATGATTTAAAAGAATTCCCTTTTAATTTTGTGTTTTGACTGAATTTGGAAAAAGTAGACCGGCCAAACACAAGTGAAAACACATATGTTTCTTCGTAATAGAAATCATGATGTACCTTACAAGATCTACACAATTCAACGTTGTACAAAAACGAATTTGCAATGGAATCTTACAAATGGTGTTTTAACGACCGGCTCCTAGAATATGGTGTTTTTATACACTTTATATAGACAAAGAACAAATCGATGTTTTCAAAAATGGCCATGCCATGCGGAGGTTTCTCGGACATGTTATTGGGGTTAGGGCTTTGATGCTCTTTTTGTACAAAGAAGACCCTCTAACGTTGTACAAAAACGAATTTGCAACGAAATCAGAGTAATGGTGTTTAAACGGTTGGCTTTAGAATATGGTGTTTTTTTAACGAAAATTCATGCCCTTTATATAGAGAAAGTCACCTTCAAAACGGTAATCAGGTTGGGGTTCTCACGAATGATCTAAAGAAGTAAACATATTCCTAAAAAAAAAATTGTAATTCTGGTTAAAGTATAATGTCGTAGCAGTCGTATGCGCTAATTCATTTCTGTAAATTTGATTAAGAATATAATACTTTGGTTCGTTTCCTTACTGTGTTATTCGCTTTGGCAATAGCGTTGCGCAGATTTGGCGTTACTTTTACGATATTAACACATGTCTGCGTTACTGGATAGGTACGTTGTTCAACCTGCAATCTTGTGTTTTACTATCTCATTGTTTATGAATGCGAAATACAGTTAGAGAGAAAGAGACTGTTAAAATTCTTACTCAAACGTTTTGTCATCCGGTGAACATTTTATATTCTTTATGGAGTTAAGTTTTGCCATCTTTGTTACTTAAGGGAAAATGTATTTACATAATTATTTTAATGATTCGAATGCAAAACCTTATACTCCTATAAATAAAGATTGTTCGGGAAGGGTATGTCAGTATTATGATTATATGTAGCTAGTAAATATATAACGCTTGAATAGCAAAGATTGTAAATTTCAACTTTTCTGCAGTTATATAATCTAACTTGAACGTAACAATAAATACGATGAAACACACCGGACTACTGATATCTCAATCATTTTAAATATTAAACTGCATAACAATATTATTGTTACTGAAGTTTCAATAGTAAACAGCAAAGAAAACGAAGGACTATTTTAAGTTTCTCTACTTTATTGTTTGTTTAATGAGCTAATGAAATAAGAAAACAAGTTGTCCATTCACAGCTGGTTATCAGACTGAGAGAAACTACAAACAACAAGTCAATAGACCCTTGTCTGATTTATGTTTACAATTAAATGTTTCTCGGATTGTTAAAGTAAATACATAAAATAAAGAGATTTCCTGGCAGATATCTGTACTCGTATATCAGTCGTTAAAATAAATAATAAGAGCTTAGATCAGCTTGGTGATCTAATGATAACGGTAGAAACATGAGGTTTTGAGTCTGCTCGCATGATTTTACAGACTATATCATCTACAATACGTTTTGTTGGATATAATAATTAAAATTATGATATATGTTTGCTGATAAAGATAAAAAAGATAGAAATTGACAGTTATGCTAATTGGTTGCCAATAGTCTGTATAATATTAGGATAAAGAAAATTGTATGAGATAATTACACAAGAGGAAACAATATTTCTATACAAGCTGAAGCAACATATATTTCTACATAAGTACATTTTTATTATGATATCAGCGACACTTTTTCGTTTTACTCGAATATATTAAAGTTTACCGTTCATGTATTTCATTAAACATTGTTTATATAAGAACGAATTGGAAAATGTCATAATGTGTATGCGACCGGATAGCTTACTTGGTAAAGCGATGTCTTCCGAAGGTCTCAGGTTTAAGTCCTGGTAATGCTTAACATTTTTTCTCTCCATTTGACACCTGGC